TGTATTTTTAATTCTCAAAAGATGAATGGGGTGCCTTGTAATTAGGCAAAACTTTAGGGTAAATATCCCCATAAGAAAAAATAAAAAGAATTACACACCAGACCATTGAATTGATATTTCCCCTAACATCCATCTCACTGAACAAGAACCAATATGCTCATAATAACTATGAATTAACCAAAAAGATAGAAAAAAAAAAAAACAAGAAAAATAAAATACATAATTCCCAATTTCATCTTGGCCCAAAAGCTTCTCTTTTTCTACAGACTATAAAAAGTAAAAGATACCTATTTATCACATTTCCCTTCCTGCCAATAGAGTGAGCAACAATAATAATAATAATTATAAAAAGAAAAAAGGTCAAACTTTGTCGTCTAATTTGTCGTTAACCAGAGGAATCAGCTCGATTTTGCTGCGTGGGGTCCGCGGCGTATGAGGAGTCCCGGGCGTCTGTTGTGAGAGAATATGTCTAACGTACCCGTAGAAGGTACACCCGACTAGAGTAATACCACACCCAACTGCATTCATCATGGAGATCGGGTTTCGAAAAATCAGCCACGAGCATGTAACAGCCACAGCAACCTTATATATACATATATACACACGACGAAAAGCATAGAAATCAGAATTTAGTATTTATTTTTATTATTTTTCAAGATAGCATTGGAAACTAAATGCAAGAAGAAGAAAAAGAAAAGACTAATGTATTTTTGGCATATGTCGTCCAAAAAGAATATATTTCGGTGTACAATAAAAGAGAGAAAGAAAACCACCTTAAGATTTCCAGCAACATTGAAGGTCACAGCAGTTGTCGAGTGAATAACGTAAAAGATGGAGAAATTGAGGCAAAAGGCCATTACACCAGAGCCGAATATGATGAGCAGAGAGGAAAAAAGAGAAGGGCACGTATAAAGCCATCTGATAACACCTGATCCTTCGAGAAGCAATGCTGGCACAGACAGGATCATGGTTGCGAATGGAGCCATGTAGTATACGGTATTTATACTGCACACCACAAAATAGATTGATTTGGAATTAGAATATGGCATGCGTCAAAATTACAAGTAAGTCCTCGGACTTTTTACTCACTTCACAAAAAGCTATATCCTACCTCATGGATTATGAAAGACAAATAAGTCACAAATTTACCTGTCGAATTTGTATCCATGCAACAGAGACTCTGCAAGAATTGTTTTCGTGGACGTTGCAAGACAGCCAAACAAAGCAGCACAAAATCCGAGCATGTTAAAACTGAGTTCTGTGATAGAAGTGAGTAGAATCCCACCAACAATAGGAATTAGGGAAGCCCAAATCCGCCAGTCAAAGTACTTCTTCCAGATTAGCCACTGCAGGATAACTGTTTCAAGAAAAAGAGAAACAAATAAACAAAAACATTTTATCAATAAGTGTCAAGGGGTAGTTAAAGAACCCATCTCTATGGTAAAGAATATTTGCAAAAAGAACAAAAATAAGTTTTGAATTAAAAGAAAATTGGAGTTCTCGAGCTTGGATGCTTTTTAAATTAATATTTAAAAATGATTTTCTGGACTTTTTTTTAAAAAAAATCATCCGGGAGATACATTCAAATCCAAAGGGAAACTCTGTAATTTTTTAACTTCTCCATTTTTTAATTTTTATTTTTGTGATTACTCTGAATATGGGGGATAGTTTACGTAATATCTTCTAATGTCAATTAATCAAAAATACCAACAGGAAATGGCAAAATAATTAACGGCAAGAACAATACCCTAAAACACATTTGACAAGTAATTTTAAACAAAACTCACCTGTTGTTGCAGGGGTAAAAGACTTGATGGTTTGCATGAAAGAAACAGGAATATACCGCAGGCTCACATTGCCCAAAACTATGTTGATACAAAATATGAACGACATGGGAAATATCCTTCTCCATCTATCTTCAGGGTCGACTGAGATAAGCGGCTTCAGTTTCAGAACTTTAATCACCAAATAAGCACCGATGGCCGAAGATATAAAGTGAACACACGACACAGTCAATGGGAACTTAAAGTCCAATTTCTGTCAAATCACCATAACAACAGTCGTCAAGAAGAAAGATTTCCAAAAACAACTCAACTAACCTCATATCAAAACATTAGACATATTCACCATTTGTATAACTTGAGAGCAATGAAAGTTGAAAATCACAAATAGTATGCACAATTCAAGTTACAGGACAATCATTTCAGTGGGGAATTTCTCAGTCAGCAAAAGAATCCATTCCGTAAAAGAATCTATCATTTGTAATAATGAGCATAAGCCATCCAAGATTTTCCCAGTCAGCAAAAGAATCCATAAGACCATGTTTCTAAATTTTCTAAAAAATTAACATTCCGCAAAGAGCAAACAAATAAGACTATAGTCATTAGACTCATTACTCATTTGCAAGAAGCAAGAGTGAAGAATGCGAGAAACGAATACTCGCTGTTACATTTCCGATTCAAGTTCACGACAGAGTTTAAGAATGCGAGAAATGGATACTCATCGCTGTTACATTTCTGATTCAAGTTTTAAACAGAAAGAAACAACAAAATCTCAGGAGCACAAATTCACAATTTCATTCTTTTTCACAAATGGAAACATTTATATTGGAACTATACAACATAAACAAACTAAGGGCAGTAAACTTATTCGATGGTTCGAAAAATCATCTCAAAATTCACATTTTGTGTAAAATTCTGAAACACAATTCAGACTGCCAACCATATAATTCCCATATAATTCCAGCTGAACCTCGGCGAGACTTTAACACACACACACACACACACACACACACAAAGATCGAACTCTTCAACGAAAATCGAGACAATCCAGATAAACCCATCAACATAAAAACCCACAAAAATTTCCCAAGTGAACTATCTCACACATTTCACGCTTGCAATATGTTATTGGACCTCAAACTCAAGAGACGAACCTGAAATATCCATTTGTTCATGATGATGACGGTGACATTGAAACCCCACCACTGGACAATAGCCAGCACGGATCGAATCACGCTCCACTGACACAGCCTGCTCTCCTCCATCACTCTCTCTCACCGCCGGTGATCGAGAAAATCCGACGAAAAACGAGATTCACCCAAAAAAAAAAAAAGAACGGATCGAACAACACACGGCAAATGAAAAAACAGAAAATGCCCACACTGAAGATCAGTGAAACTCGATCACAGAGCTTCAGAATTTCGACAATGGCGTACAGGCGGTGGGAGGCGCACACATTTTTAATTCAATTAAATTGGGGGTTTAAAAAAAAGATTGCTGATTTTGTTGCTAAATTCCGAAATTTAGGGGTGAAGAAATTCGAAACGTGTGTGGATTTCTCGGTGGGTTCACGCCATTAGAGCCTCTTTATTGGTAAACAATACCAAAAATCCCATGCCCGAAGAGAAGGTACATACACACAATACAACAC